TAATAAAACGGGGATGGGCGCGCGGACGTGGATCGTGGACCGCCCTCAGGGCGGCCTTCGGACTGGTGAGAACGTCGTGTGCCGTATTGGGTTATCCCGAGCCGTCTCGGAATATCTCGGGCCGTCTCGCGGCCATTCTCGCGGCTGCTGGCGCGTCTCAGGAGCCTCTGCGGAGCGGGGGCATGCGGGCGAGAGGTGCGAGGCGGGGTCTGAGATGAGTAGAACCATTGCTGTTTTGGCTCAGAACGGCATGATCTCTCGAGATCACCATCTTACCGACGTGGCCGCATGTCCACGGAGGGATCGCGACGAGCCACGCGCGCCTGCCTTTCGACCTCCCGACCCAGCGCGACGAGGAGGACAGCGAGCTGAGGGGCAAGTGTCAGCAGTCGGCCATGAAGAAATGGATGGGCAAGTTCTGGTGCTATATCTTGGAGCTGAATGCGTTGCCGCCAGTGGCGTCGGAGGTCAGGACCGACCCCCGCGCGCTGGACATCGTCGCCGAGGGTGCGACGATGAAGAAAACGATCGCGAGGGAGATGTCGATCAACTTCAACTCCACGATCAACATCTACAAGGCGCATGGGAAATCCCCGAGTGGGAATGCAATTCAGGGTGACGCGCTCGTGGACCTTATCAAGTGGCTCTGCGTCCGCAAGATCGATGATCGCGACGGCGACGCCGCGCCGCCGCCTGAGTGCCCGCCCGCCGATATTAGCAATATCGAGACGTAGGTGGTCCACAGCGGCGAGTGGAAGCATGTGTCGACGCCGAACTTCGAGGGGCCAAGGCGGGGCCGCCTGTTCATCAGCGCGAGCCCCCTGATGCGGACGGCGCTCGAGGAGCCCGGGTGCGCTCGCGTTGGCGAGCTTGCCCTCAGGGCCGCCGACGTCCACTGCGACGACGGGGGTGATGCGGCGTGCCCAGCGCTCTATCTCAACGAGCGCGTCATGCATGAAAGCTGGTACTCGTTGGTCATCGAGAACACCGTGATTGACTTCGCGCTCGAAGGTGAGCGATGAGGTGCCGCGGCGTGGCGCGCGCGGCTGTCTCGGCCGACTCAAATCAGGCTGCGGCCGATTCGGCTGCTTATAGTCGGCCGGTTCAGTTAATGATGGTCGGGGCGGCGTTGATGCATGCGCGTGCGATGGCGCCGCCTTTTGCACCCCTTGGGAGGTGCCATAAACTCTGGCGGCCGTCGCGCGTGTAGCCCCCCAAAAACATGTTGAGAACTGCTCGGGTAGTCGGAGAACGAATTCTAACAGGGGAGGGGGCACTGGGGGCCTCCGAAGCTCGAGTTCGCCATGGCATTACATTTGAATTGCGTACCACAACTTATTGTTTTGGGGATGGGTTTGTCAGATGCCCGCCCCAATTCCTGACCGCCATGACGGGCCCCGCGCGTTCCTGAGGAACCGCCCTCCGCTCATGTAGCTGTTGTGCAACGTTCAACGCTTGGTCAGTCGGGAAATCTCGAGTGAGAACCGCATCTTCAAGAGGAACCGCCATCCATCCACGCAGTTGTTGCGCATCGCTGAATCCCACCAGCCCTTTAGGGCGTAAGTGGTTTAGGGTGTTTCTCTTCCGCTCCTTTTCCCCTTTCGGGGAGGGGGTTATCACTGTTCCCTATTAATAAACACCCCCTCCCCCAGGCGACTGGGGGCCAGCCAGGGTCCATGCCGACACCCCCCCACCATCCCTTGTACAAAACAATACAAAACACACTCTGCCTCCAAATTCGGAACATGCGCAGCCAACCCGATGCGGCCCCCCCCAACATCCCTGTCAAAAGAATGCAGAGTACACTTGGCGGCGGCGGCGGCGGCGGCGGCTGCGGCGGCGGTGGCGGCGGCTGCGGCGGCTGCGGCAGCGGCGGCGGCGGCGGCGGCGGCGGCGGCGGCGGGGGCGGGGGCGGGAAGCGGCGGCGGCGGCAGCGGCGGCGGCGGCGGCGGCGGTGGCGGCAACGGCAGCGGCAGCGGCGGCGGCGGCGGTTTGGCAGCGGGGGGCGGGCGGCGGCGGCGGCGGCGGCGGCGGCGGCGGCGGCGGCGGCGGCTGAGGCGGCGGCGGCGGCGGCTGCGGCTGCGGCGGCGGCGGTAACGGCAGCGGCAGCGGCGGCGGCGGCGGTTTGGCAGCGGGGGGCGGTGGCGGCGGCGGCGGCGGCGGCGGCGGCGGATTGGCCCCCAGTAGCTGCCCATCCCAAGACGACTGCTGAATATGCTGAGGCTCGGGCCAGACTCGGGTGCTACGTATGTGCTGGGAGGGCGGGTGGGAGTGAGCGAGACGGCTTGCGGGCGGGGAGGGGGTAACTTGACCCCTCTCCCTACCCCCTCCACTGGACCTGGGCGGGGCGCTCCGCGAGCGGTCGGAACGCCCAAAACGGCCCCGGCAAGGAAGCCAATGTCATTGGTTTTACCAAGGTTTGGGCCCCATTTTGGCTTCTTGGGGGGGGGCAGCGCCAATTAAGGAATCCCCCTTCTTTGATCGATCTCCTCCGAAATGGCCCCACGAGCGCTCCCAATGACCCCAAGGGTGCCCCAAGAGGGCCCCAAGAGGTGGCGCGGATGCCCCGAGAGGTCCCCAAGAGGCTCCCATGATGCCCCCAAGATGCTCCCAAAAGACCCCCAAGAGGCCCCGAGAGGCTCCCCCAGAGGCGCCCAAGAAGCCTCGGCGACAATGCCAGACACATTGAATTTATTAAGGTTGGCAACATTTTGGCTTTTGGGGGGGGGGGGCGGCGCTGCTTAAGATGACTCGAAGAGCGCCTGGGATAGCTCAGGATGACCTCCAACATGGCTCAAGATATGCCAATATGCATCAAAATGGCCCCCGCGATGCTCCCAGAGGCCCCGAGACCGCTCCAAGACGGCTACAATTGGCCAAAGAGCTCCCCCAGGAGGCCCCGAAGAGGCCAAACTCCTTCCCAAACCTTATTGTTTTTAGCTTTCTCGCCTCTCGCTTCCGATGGCCGTCCGAGGCCTCAAGATGGCTCCAAGATGGCCCAAGAGGGCTCCGAGAGCGCTCCCAAGGCTCCCAAGGGCGCTCCAAGAGGGCCCCAAGAGGCGCCCAGAAGGCCCCGGGAGGCCCCAACAGGCGCCCAAGAGGCCTCCAAGAGGCTCCCAAGTGACCCCTTAGAAGACCCATCTTCCCCGAGGCACCCAAGACGCTCTAAGAGGCGTCCGGGACCGCACAGAGGCCCCCAAGATGATCCAAGAGTCCTTCACTGGGGGGGGGTCATTCCTCTGCGTGCTGCCCACTTCCCTGATCGAGGCAATTCCTCTGGGCATTGTTTCTGGATGGGCTGGTGGGGTTACGCGAAGCGTCAGGAATTTCTAATCATATCAGGACAATCCTGATGCCGATTGGCTGTTCACGAATTACTTCACGACACGTCTCGCAATACTGACCGCAGCCATTTTTTGCAAATTGCTACCAATTGCGCGCAATTTCTTGCTGAGACGATCAGCGCATACCTCCACAGGAACCCCGGGCGAAGCTATGGGCAAGCGCGCCCAGGCGAAGGCTGATGTCGAGTCGAAGCCCCCGAAGCTGCAGGGCAAGACAAACCCCGCTGTGGCGGACGCCGCCGCGGGCGTGATGCAGCAAGTCGCCAGCAACGAAAACATGGTCCGCATCGTGATCAACGAGGTCCACGATGCGTTGAAGATGATCACGGAGCACGAGATGTTCAAGGACATCCAGGACCAGGGGCCGCACAGCATCACAACTGGCAGCAACCAGGCGGCATTCCACCAGCGAGATATGAACGAGGTGCTTGCCAAAGATGGATCTGGCCACTTCTACAAATGTGGCTTCAATTTCATGTGGCAGAGCTTCACGTGGATGGCCAACCATCGCGTGCCCACCAACAAAGGTCAGATCAAGGAGCTCCAGAGTTTCGGCTTGGACCCCCTGAACCCGCCCAGGCATTCTTCCTTCGAGACTGTGATTGTATTGGAGCCCCAAGATGCCCTTAAAGAGCTCCGAAAGGACCCCAATATCCCCCAATACAGCCCCGTAGCTCCAAGAAGGCCTCTGATGCTCCAAGATAGCCTCCAAGATGGCTCAACACCCTCCTTCTTCTCCTCTCCTTGCACGCTCTGTTTCACTATATGTGTCTGTTCGTCTCTTTTTCCGTCAGCTCTCATGGGCAGGGCTCCTGAATGGGCTGGTGGGGATTCGCGAAGCGTAAACAATTTGATCCCAATGCGCTGTCACAGCGCTGGACAACCCGCCTAAAGGCCTCGCGGCCGTCGGATCCAGGTCGTTCCAGAACTTTTGATTACGCACCTGGGGGCGTACGCTGTCCATTCGGACTGCGCATACGCCTAGGCACCACCCCACGAGTAGAGTGATGGGTGAGAAAGTGTTGACGAAGAGTAGGGAAGAAAACGAGGATGGGAGGAGGGGGAGGGAGAATGGAGAGGCGCGAGGCTTTATGAGGGGGGCAGGTGGGTGATGAAGAAGGGATGGGAGAGGAGGGATGACGGGTTCGATACACGGTGGCGGGCAAGAGAGAATTCTCTACGTCCTCGTCGCCCTACTCCTCCCCATCAATCCATTTACCTCTCCAACCCGATCGTCCTTCCTCCTTTCCTCCTCGTCCCTCTTCTCCTGCTCTTCCGCTTTTGTCCTCCTCCTTCTCCTCCTCCTTCTCCTCCTCCTCCTCCTCCTCCTCTCCCTCTCCACGCATCTCTCATCTCATCCTCCCCTCCTTCTACTTCGTCGCCGCCGAAGCCCTCGCCGTCGAAGCCTCTGCCGTCGTCGCCGGCACCGGTGACTTCGTCACCGACGACGACGACGGCAAGACGACGTCGACGACGAAGACGAGGTTGACGAGGAGGACGACGAGGACAACGACGACGACGACGACGACGAGGACGACGACGACGAGGGCGACGAGGACGACGACGACGACGACGACGACGACGACGACGACGACGACGACGAGGACGAGGACGACGACGAGGACGACGGCGACGACGTTGCCGCCGAGCGGCCGCCTGGGCGCCACGTACCTCGGCGGGGCCGCCCGAGCGCCGAGGGCCGCCCGCGGCGGCTGCGGCTGCGAGGTCGCGACCTCGCGGGCGTCGGGCGGCTCGTCGTCGTCGTCGTCGTCGTCGTCGTCGTCGCCGCCGTCGTCGTCGTGTCCTCGTCGTCGTCCTCGTCGTCGTCGTCGCCGCCGTCGTCGTCGTAGTCCTCGTCGTCGTCGCGCTGGCGGGCGAGGCCCCGTGGCGCGGGGCGCCGCGTGCCGCCGCCCGCCGTGGGGCTTCGGGGAGGCCGCGGCGCACGCGCGGGCGTCCTCTTTTGCGGCGGCGGCGGCTGGGATCACCAGCATCACCAGCATCACAACTCTACGCATATTCAGTGAACTGTTCTCGGGGGTCCTGAGGGGTCGCCACAAGCACCTGGAACCGTCTTGTGGCCCTCTTGGGGCCTCTTGGAGGCATGTTGTCAGCTGTGTTGAGCCATGTTGGGCTATATTGAACGATCTTGGAGGCTATCTTGGGCTCTCTGAGGCTCTCTTGGAGCCATCTTGGGGGAAAAAGGACCCTCTGACACCTCGCGGCCTCCCCCGTCCAGGTCCAGGGACGGGGGTAACCCCCTCCCCGAAGGGGAAGAAGGGGTTGTGGACGAGGAAGGGAAGACATCGTTAAACCACTTGTCGTCCAGAGGGCTGGTGGGATCCTACGCAAATTCAAACCAAATCAGCCTGTCCTGCTGCGCCTCCTCTTCCTCCAACTGCCCCACGGTCCTCGCCTCCCCCTTGTCTCCTAGTTATCCCCCTCATCGTCACCATGATCACCAGCCTCACAACACGAATCATGGTCTCTCTGGCTACGCGGCGACGGCTGGGATGCAATTATCCCAGCCGTTCGAACCTTGTATGTTGTCGGTCGGCGGGAGAGGAACCACATGCCCACGGCAGACAATGGGGGCGGAACGACGTTTGCGTGCCATGGACATTGTGGATGATGACCAGGCGGTGGTGCCTGCTTTCGGCAGCGAGCGAGGGGGGGCAGTGAGATGCAGGCCTTCGTAGAAGGCGGCGGGGCTTCTTTAGAAACCCTCGCGCCCTCTAAGACATGTTCTGAGTCTTGGGGGCAAGCTCAGAACACTTCTCGGAGGAGGGAATGGGGAAGGCAAGGCGAGATGTGAATCCGCACGTGTGGGGCGCACGGGGACGGGAAGCCATGTGCGCGCCAACAAAAGCCGCCCCTGACGCCCCCCAGGCGGAGGATGGCGCCGCCCCCCAAGATGAGGGGGTAGCCCGGGGTGATCAAAAACTGAGCGCACGCAGTGCAAAGCGGTATCCAAACAGGGAAGGATCGGCGGCGAGCGTGGGGGGAAGTGAGGAGAGAAAAGGCCTTCTTCGAAGGCGGCGGGGCTTCTTGGAAACTACTCGCGCCCTCTGAAAAATTGTCTGAATCTTCGGGGGAGGCTTAGAGCACTTCTCGAAAGGCCGGGGGACTTCCGAGCCTTCTGAGAAGGCCTTCTCCTTCTCACTTTCCCCTCGCAGTGGTGGCGCACGCGCACCGCGTCCGCAGCCTGAGCGGGGGCGCTGCCAGGCGAAAGGACCTCTTTCATCCAGGACCCGTCTCATTCGTGCTGAGGCGGGTGCACTGGAGGCTAGTCCACAAGAAACCTTCCACAAGAAACCCAATCCTGAGACCCCAGGATGTCCATTGATTTTTGGTGTGGGAACGTCGCGCTCTCCATCGTAGAACCATCGGAACCCAAGAAACCCAAGGCACCCTGGGGGCGAACAGGGTGTTTCTTGGCATGGGTCGCCACTGTAAGACAATCAGCTGCACTGTCATTGACTTCCCGAGGTCCGCGCGGATATCCGGGGTCCGCGCGGAACCCATGGCAGCGCCTCCGGGGCCGTCCCTGGCGCGCCCCGCGCGTCAAGGGGGGGAGGGGGGGGGCAACGCCAATGCACGCAATCCGCGCGGGCCTCCAAGAATTCACGTGAACTGATTGACAACAAAAAACCCGAACCATTTGGGAGGTAACCTCAGTTAGGAGGGCCAGGAACATTAGGGATAGGGGGTCTGTTCTGCAGGCGTATCGAACCAAACCGCCCAGAATTACTAGCCCTAATGCGAAGACGGGGACTTCAGTGAGGCTACGTCTTCATCGTGTTATTAGGGTCAGGGGTTCTTCTATCCTCAATGATGAACGGCGAAAGGAATTGGTCCTTTCGCAAGATGCCATAGCGACCTTACGCTGTTGCTTACGCGGGCCGCCAGAGCAGCACGCCACATTGGGAACGATAGCGCTTACGCGCCACCTTGCGCAGGAAGCTTACTCGCGAATGTCAGGGCAGCCGACTCCTTTTAATGCGTCGTCGGGCTTCTTCTGACCCTGGTCAGTGCAAGCCTGGGCCACTGAATCTTTGCAAAATCCTGCAGGATCCTGCGCGCTAGCCCGGAACAATGCAACCCTGGCTTTGCAGGACCCTGCAAGATCCGGCGCCCTTGCTGACCCCTGGTTGCAGTGACCCCGTCAGAGCTCCCGACGTCGCTCAATTGTGCACCGGCCGGCGGGGGCAAACGAGGGCGTCCACGGAGAGGAAGGCGGCGCACTCGGACCAAGCAGGGCTTCGCGAGCGGTGTGGCGGCCTTTGGCTCCGCGTACACCCAGGCATCCGACGCAGTTGTTTGAGAGGGACCAGGGGCACACAAAGAAATAGACGCAAATCCCAGGATTCGCCAAATCCCACCAGCCCTTTGGGCGAGAGGTGGTCTAAGGGAGATCTCTTTTTTCTTCACCAACCCCTCTGTCCTTTCGGGGAGGGGAACCCTCCCCCTCCCCTCCCGAAGGTTTTTTTGGGAGGGGGACCGATGTGTCAGAGGGTTTTTTTTCGGCCAGTGCGAGGGCCAATTTTTGACACCCCTCACGAGGATCGTGGCCCCCGAGAGGAGGGGCAGACATTGATGACCCCCTCTCTTCCCTACATGTCCTACATGTTTCCTGGAAGTCGACGATTCTTTGTGTTTGTGTGTGCTTCCCTCTTGATTTTCCAAAACGTGTGAGACGAATATCGGCTGAGGACAAATTCGGATGAGGATAAATCGGGCACGGCCATTCCAGAGCTTCCCAAAACTCTCTGTGTGCGTTCCGATACGCTGTCCCGAGAGAGCGCTCCCAAACTCTCATCTCATGGGCTAAACTGAATAGAGGTCTTCTAGATGGGGTCGGAGTAAATGGGGTCGGAGGATCACGCCGCATCGCCGATACATCGGCGATGCATCGGCGATGCATCGGCGATGCATCGGCGATGCATCGTCGACGTGGGCGATGTATCGGCGGCGTCGGCGTGGAGCAAATCGGGCTCCCCATCGAGCCGCATCGCCGATGCATCGCCAATGCTAGAAGAAGAACAAGCGCCATAAACATAAACTTTTGGCGCTCCGCGCGGATTTCTTGGATCCGCGCCGGACCCCCTCCCTGGCGCGCGGAGCGCGCCAGGGGCGGCGCCGGAGGCGCCGCCAGGGGGGCCCAGCGCGGATCCGAGAAATCCGCGCGGAGCGCCAACAGTTCATTTTTATGACGCTTTTTCCCCGTATCCTAAGATGGGGTTCTTGGTATTCCCCATATCCTAAGTATGGGGTTCTTGTTATTGGCGGACCGCGCCGGAGGAACAGAGAGAGAACATAACACCACCTCAACTCATCTCTCCGACTCACTCATCACTCAGACTCACTCATCACTCAGACTCACTCATCACTCAGACTCACTCGTACTTGTACTCATACATTCACTACACTCACCCAGGTCCCCTCATCGGATGACTCTCACACACTGATGTTGAGGATGTCTCAGGCGGTTCTGTGGCTTCAGCACTCCTAAGGGGAGCGGCGGGGGGGTGTTGCACTCGGACCCTTTCGCTGGATTTTGTGGGGATGTCTCAGATGGTTTGGCCATTTTCTCTTCCAACATGTTTCGCTTTCGGAGCAGATTTGGAGGATGTCTCAGGCGATTCGCTGGTTTCAGCACTCTAAGGGGGGCGGCTGGAGGGTATCTCACTTGGCCCCTTTCGCGGGATTTTCTTGGGGATGTCTCAGGCGGTTTGGCCATTTTCTCTTCCAACATGTTTCGCTTTCGGAGCAGATTTGGAGGATGTCTCAGGCGATTCGCTGGTTTCAGCACTCTAAGGGGGGCGGCGGGGGGGTGTTGCACTCGGCCCCTTTCGCGGGATTTTCTGGGGATGTCTCAGGCGGTTTGGCCATTTTCTCTTCCAACATGTTTCGCTTTCGGAGCAGATCTGGAGGATGTCTCAGGCGATTCGCTGGTTTCAGCACTCTAAGGGGGGCGGCGGGGGGGTATCTCACTCGGCCCCTTTCGCGGGATTTTCTGGGGATGTCTCAGGCGGTTTGGCCATTTTCTCTTCCAACATGTTTCGCTTTCGGAGCAGATTTGGAGGACGTTCGCGCCCAGTTTGCGGGGATGTCTCAGGCGGTTTGGCCGTTATGATGCTGGGCATCTGTCGTTTTCGGAGCAGTTTTGGGAGGATGTCTCAGGCGATTTGCTGGTTTCAGCACTCCCAGGAGGAGGAGGAGGAGGAGGAGGAGGAGGAGGAGGAGGAGCGAGGAGGAGGAGGAAGGAGGACGAGGGAGGAGGAGGAGGAGGAGGAGAAGGAGGACAGCATGAACACGGTAGGAGCAGAAGCAGGAAGGGGATGATGATGATGATGATGATGATGATGATGATGATGATGATGATGATGATGATGATGATGATGAGGAGGAGGAGGAGGAGGAGGAGGAGGAGGAGGAGGAGGACGTGGGCAACTCGAGTAGCCAGGGCCAGACGATCGAGGTTCGATATTCCAAAGTTTTAGGTTTTACTCAAACGCTTCCGCCTCACTCTCCTTCGCTCTCCGCTCTCTTCCACTCTTCTGCATTCATACTCACTCATACTCAGACTCAGTCACACGCAAGCTCACCCGCACTTAGACTCGCTCATATCCATACTTAAAACTTACTCACCCTCCGACTCACGCTCAGAACCACTCATACTCAGACTCGCTCCTGCTCAGACTCATCATCCTTCGGTCCGCTCAAACGCAGACCG